TCAGGCGGCCTGCATGTACTCTGTGAGCCGCCAAAAGCTGTCAGCTTTTGGTCAAAAAGGGCCTTATCTTTGCAGATTGATTTTCTAAAAGAGAAAGGATGGTGAAGTCACAGTGGAGTCGTTTCGTCAGTATTTAGCTCTCAAAACGTTCAGTTTTCTTCATGTAGACCATCCAGAGCTCTGGTCATCATGGTAGTGACCTACAGTGTCGGAGAGCGAGGAATATCAAAAGCTGTGACAAGTGCGATTAGTTTTGATTGTGGTAGTGTATTTATGTATTTACTTATTTTTGCGCTTGACTTTGAATAATGATGTTGTGTTTTCTTTAGATTGTTAGAAATGTACGTGCGTCCAAACTGTTTTTGTTTGACATGTGGGCAAATGACATAAGTTTGTCTCTGACAGTCAAAACAAAGATACCCGGTTCAAATTTAGTTGCTGGTGCTGGTTGATGTCAAACACAACAAGCATTTCACTTTTCCCAGGTTTTAACAAAGAATTCTGTTCTTCGGTTCTTTGACTCGTTTCTTTTTAATTGTTACAATTTTCACAGGGGATTTAAGCGATGCCTTACGGAGAAAAATGGCATTTTCTTGAAGTGAACTTAAAGAAGTTTGCATTCATCTTTACTTCGATGCCTTGAAAGAAAGTCTGCACAACCATTTGGGAGTTTGCTTTCAAGGAAGCCCAAAGAAGTAGAATCAACATGTGGATTTTTATATATTTTTTATAAATTAAATGCAACCAGTGTTTCACTTTTGGGCAAAACCACAACCCTGACCGTGTAGCCGGAGCTGCAACAGAAAGGTTTCAATCAAAGTTTGTTCATGTGCTGCTCTCCATCTGATCTGACTGGGCTTGAGTTATTTTGCAGGGAAGAAGTCAGGAATGTCAATACATAGATGTGAGAAGCTGTTTAGAGACATAAATCTGCAGCTGAAATGGCAGAAAATGTTCTTCCTGGAAAATAATGGCTGAGGGTGGCTGAATATAGAGGCACAATATTTTTAAAAATGTCATTACTCTAGCGCACAGAGCGTATTACAACATTGAGAAAAAAAGCCAATGGTTATGAAAACAGGAAAAGCGCCATACTATTTGTTTAAGTCTCATAAATAAACACTTTCTTTGTAGCTACAGAACAAATGCATCCTTTTCCATGAGTAATTTTCATCAGCTCAAAGCTGAAAAACTCGCTTCTCCAAACCCTCATGCGTTTCTTGAGAAAAACTGACCTCCCCTCCCTTTTACTGTAACTCAAAGAAGCATGGAGCCTGGCTGTTGTCCCTCGGATTGTGGGAAATGCCACATTCCTTTATATGGACATCCTGCGTATTCCCTCTCTCCAAATCCCGGAAGCAGGCGCAGCTTTTCCCATCAGGACTAAAATCAACGATCATTTGCAGAGCTCTCCAGGGAGCTCGAGTTTCCCCACTAATGAAAGTGGAGCACTCCCACTTTTCAAAGTAATTGTTGACAGGCGCTTCTAGAGAGCATGCAGTATATGCAGAGCAACAGAGTTCAGAATAACACAGAGAAATCAGGAGTTATCAGGAAAAGGCAGGGAAATATCTGCACGCTTCACGCTGGCAGTGACTGTATGGAGCTGTATGTGGAAGTGAAATTAACTTCATTTGCTCAAGAGAGTGGGAATCGTTACGAAAGAAATAGACTTTGCACAGTTCGCTTCAAAGACATACTTTGCTTCCAAAGATGTTTTGGAAGCAACATGAGCACATACAAGAGCAGACACAAGTAGAAAAAGAAAGAAAGAAAAGTGACATTTATTTTTTTAGCAACTTGTTGCATCCTTCTGCATCCCTGTCGCAGATCATCGCAGCTGATTTTATTTTTATTCTCAGAGACGTCTTTGAATGTAGCATAACTAATAATTAAAGTTCACACTTTCAGTTGTCATTCTTAACATGATCCTGTTAGGGAAACATAAGTATGTGATGCTAACACTACTAATTGGATTGACACATTGGTTCTTTTATCGATGTAAGCAAAAGATATAGATTGAAGAAGAACATAACAAAAATGATTTAAAGCTAGAACTGTTTATGTCGTTTATCTGTGTTTTCTTTAGGAATACAAGTGGAGTGGAGAGAACTCCTGCTTTCTGAGTGGCAGCAGGGAATCTCTGCAGACTGGTGGAGGAGGGCAGGCTCAGTTCCTGTTTGGGTCTCCAGTTGGCAAATCTTTCCCAATGTGCTGCAATATATTTCACAGATTCCTCTTCTAAATGTCTATGCTTTCTCTTTTTTAGGGGCAGATTTGCCCTCTGGCTGGACGCAGATTTGTACCGCAATGCAAGCTTTTCCTTTCCCACCTGTCACAACGCTCCTCTGTCCATGCACGAGGACTTTACTGTTCTGGACATTGAAGTTTGCACCGTGCAGGACTGAATGAGGCTGCGACGCCTCAAAACCCAACCAGAGAGGAGCATGAGCTCTCTCCACTACACCTGCATGAGGGCATCCCACATGGTGCACAAAGCCTATGAGACCGGTTCTGAGGACCGGTTCTGTGTGTTCCTATTCCAGTCGGTGGAAATGCAACTCTTAGAGACAAGAGGAGACATGAAAAGCTCATTGCGAAACTGGTGAAGGAGCCGTTAGAAGCTTTGTCCTGGCGGTGGCCAGTTTTGATTGTCTTTATTTATTTTTACTTCATGAGAATGACTTCATCACAATTTATTTTATGGTGCAGACACTGTAATAGGAGAGGACCTAAACCTGTGCATCTGCGCTCTTGCAACTGCAAGGACTGAGGAGCCAGTAAATCCAGTGAAAAAGAAAAACCCACAATAAATCTGTAATGGCAAGGGGGCGAGGCATTTATGAGGAAACAAAACTTACGAGTTAACGGCCGCTGCTCTTCTCCTAAGTGCCATTTGTTCATGTAAGGATTCCTTTTAGGGAAATACGTATTTTGCACAGTTTTTGCAATGTTTTAATTTTTAAATACATGTTTATACATGTATTTAAAAATACATGTATATACATCTACTTTTTTTTCTTTTTTTTTTCCAATGCACTTCAGCAAGCAAGCTCTTTAGAGTGTCTTTCTGGTCGGTTTTACTTAAATGTTTACATGTCTGATGAGGTGGAGCTGACACTGTCACTGCTAAAGTTTGAATAAATGAAAAATGTTCAGCTAAGTGAATCATTGACATTTCTTATTGTCATACCTCAACAAAAACAAAACATAAATTAAAAAAAAAAATAACATAGAAGGTGCGATGTATATCACTCTAGCTTTGAGCAGCCAAAGTGTAACGGACAGACGAAGCAGTCTAAAATGGATCCAAAATACAGAATGTCATTTATATTCCCCCCAGTAAATTATTCTGCAAAACTCATGTGCAAGCTAATTTGCTCGCACATGAGGCCCCCTGCTGGCCAAAGCCAGTTTAGCAACACAATTTCTCAGTGAAAACTCTTTTTCTCCACTCAGAAATGTTTGCACCATTTCAGCCGAAAAAGAAAATAATAATAATAATAATAACAGCTCAGTTATCATGTTATCATGGAAATCATGTTATATTTCAGAATGCACCACATGTTTGTTTTTTTTCTCCACATTTTAAGTTTCTATTTTACTGTGTATAATGAGTAAAATAGAACCAATTGTATCTGGCAAATATCTTTCAATATATATATATAAAAAAAGACATTAGATCTCAGATATTTAAAAACATTATATTGTTTTAGTTGTGCTCTAGTTCAGAGGAATTACTTTATTGGGGGAAGATCACAGGGTTTCTGATAGTTTCAGTGAGTAACATTCAAGAATCTCACAGAAAATGTGAGATTTTAGACTTAAATAAATTAGACAAGACAAATGAAGGAGAGTCTGTTAAGCTTTAAAAAAAAGCTATTGTTTAGTTTGCTTCTAAAACCCACGGATGAGCAAATGTAACATAACACAATAAATAAATTGAAGTACACTATCTTTTATACAGTAGTTATTGGTTTAATTTAAGACTTTTGCTAAAATTGAGATGATGAAAAGATGTTTTAATTTGTTTAGAGACCGCATCAAAATGTTACCACTGAGACAATTAACTTCCCAAAATGCACCTTACGAACAAGTTTTCCACTCTGATGAACGAATCCACAGCATACAGCTGTCTGTTCATTAATCATGCCAGAACTCGAACGTCTCCATGAATCAGGCGGTTTAGGTTAGGACATCAATGATGTCACCCTCAGAAAACAACAGATGAAACATGACAGACGCATCATTAATTGCTTTCAATTGGTGGCCGTCTCTTTATATATTTTTTTCTCTTTGCCTTCTTATCTGTTCTGGCAGGAACACGGAGGGTTTTTTTTTGTTTCATCCGTCCTTTGTCTATTCCTGGTTGCCAGTTCATCACAGTTCAGTTCATCTGGACAAAACAATGGATGCACACGCAGACTTCCATGATTTAGGGTAACCAGCTGACCTAACAGTCACGTTTTTGGGAGCTGGATGAGAAGCTCGACATGCACAGAGGAACATGCAACTCCATGAAGAAACCAGGGAGGGATTTTAACCCAACACTATGAGCAACTCGTCCACCAGGGAGCAACTTCAGGATTTTATTTCTCCAGTCAAACACTAAATATACAATAACGCAACAAGCAGGGGTCGCCTGTTCCAGTCCTCAAGTCTACTTACAGGAAAACAAAATGAAGTATTTAGTATTGTAGAACTTTGAAAACATTTTTTTTTCTCTATCGTTAACAAAAGTATTAAATATTATGTATTTGTAAGCATGTGACAAGAAAAATAGGCTGAGTTTTATTGTCCTTCTGCATGTTCTAAAATAAGACATAAATGTTTCACAATCTAAAATGCATTTATTAAGCCGTTTCATCTAAGAGTAATTTGTATCATGAACATTTGACAATATCCCATTTATATCTGGCTGTTGAACCGTCAGCAGACGACTTAACAGACATTTCTGGTTTCTGGTGCACCAGAAGTCATGCCACCAGTGGAGGGTTAGTTGTAATAGATTTATGAAGCATTATGTTAAAATCAAAGTTGTAGCAACAAAGTGCAGCTAAATATTTTTCCAGCACCATTATCTTCACTGCAAACATATTTCTGATTTATTAGAAATTATAAAAATTTAAATGCTACTGATAAAAACTTACTTTAGGGATGCTTCAGTTAGCATTAATTTTTTTTTGTTTATGGTCAAAGGTTTTTGTCTCCTGATGAACCAGATATGGACCTCTCCACTTCATCCAAAACATTTTCAAAATAACTCATGCCATTTGCCTCTTTTGAGACTAAGATCTAATATCAAAATGAACAGCTGTTGATATTAAATATGTGTATTACTAAATATTAAACATATTTAGGTGTATTTTTTTTAAAACTTCTTTTATACACAAGGATATAGAAATAGAGCAACAACAGCAGCAACATTTTCTGGCCAAACATAGACCTATAAAATCATTTCCCCAGTCGCGCATGCGCAGAGAAAAACTTGTCAAAGCTCTGTTCCTGTTTTCATCTGGGGGAGAGGATAAAAATACACATGATTCAGTTATTTTGTTATTTTTGTTAATCTACGGTTAAGTTAAGACACTACTGCGCCAGAATAAATACATCTATAAATAACCCAGAATCGAGCATCTGGGATCGACTTTTCCGGTCTTAGCTTTGACGGTTCATGTTGCCCAGCAATGGCCGAGAGTCAGACTTCTTCCCAGCCCTCCTCCACCGCCACAGACAGAGCCAGCTGCGGGCCAGCGGACGGTTACAACGACAAGTGCGTCTTCTGCAGGATTGCAAACAATGAAATGGACACAGAGCTCCTCCACAGAGTGAGAATCTTTATCTTCCTGCTTCATGTGTGGCTGAGAGTCAGCTAGCTTTAGCTTGTTTTTGATAGCAGGCTGTCTAAAGACATGCTGACGCGGTGGGATTTAAGATGTTTTAGGCGAATGCGTCTTGCGGATCAGTGAACCTGTCGTGCAGTAGTTGTTGTGTTAATGGTCCATCGTGTGGGTGAGGCGCGTCTCCCGTCCCCTCTGGTCAAAACAAGCTTCCTGTTCCTGTTTCAAGTCAAAAGGTCACGCAGTAAAATGCTGCGGTGACGTTTCACCCTTTTCTAGACTCAGATTTTCAGATTTCTCAGGATCTTTTAGTCTGAGTTCATAAAGATTGAGTCACTGTTAATCTGAAGCAGAAGATGAGCAATGGATGGGTGAATAATGGATAAAATGGAATATTGATCGATAGACTAATGGATTGAATAATGGATAGTGATGATTATCTGACTGCAGATGGAAGGTGGACAGATAGATGGATAGATACGATGCATGTATAATTGAAAAGATTAATTCTGTGTGAATGAATTGATGAACAGGTGGAGGAACAATAGAAGACAATATCATTTATTGATCTCCAAGGGGGAAATTGCTTAATAAATCGATGATAAATTAGCAGACTGATAAAGGATCAATACCCATTGAACATTTAACAGTTTTAGGAAATTACGTTTTCCACGCTACATTTTACTGTTTTTATTCTTATCCAGACACGGAAGATACCTCCATTGAAATCCGTGCATTTCTGAATATTTCGAGCCTTCAAAGGAACCGGCCAGCAACATGTGGCTGATTATAAACCACAGACTGGTGATTTCAGGTTTTTGTGAAATAAATATTTTGCAGGATGAAGATATTTGCTGTTTCAGGGACATTAAACCCGGAGCTCCACATCATTACCTGGTTGTCCCAATCAAACATGTTGGAAACTGTAAATCACTCAACATACAACACGTGCCTTTAGGTAAGGTCACTCATTCATGTATTGTTTCCTTTTTTTTTATCTGCACATACGGTCAACAAACTAATTTCTTTTCCTGTTGTTTCCAGTGAAGCAAATGGTTGACATCGGGAAGGCTGTTTTGCAAAAACACAACGTGACCGATCTCACTGATGTCAGGTTAGCAACATCCAGTATTGTACGGCGGTACATTTCGAGGATTGTCTTTTAAAGAGTGACATATGTTATGTGCAACAGGTGTGACAGTAGTTACTTCACATGTTTCCTGTGCAGGTTCGGCTTCCATTGGCCACCGTTCTGCTCCGTCACACATTTACACCTTCATGTTCTGGCACCAGTCAGTCAGATGGGCTTCATGTCGCGCCTCATCTACAGACTCAACTCCTATTGGTTTGTCACGGTAAGGTTCAGAAAAACTTTGAATTTAGGTTTGCTAAAAATAAGTGCTTTACCCAGGGCCTCTGTCATCAGAGATATCAAATATGTCTTTATTGTTGTTTTTATTTTAAATGGAAACCGCTAACATCTTCTTTTACTGTCGAATGTTTTGCAGGCAGATCAGCTGATTCAGCTTCTCAACTCTAAAGTAGAGACACATTGAACTCTGGATCCTTTCTGTCCTTCAGTAAATTTTAAACAAGTGGCGTCAATTGCCCTTCCTATGTTTTATGCTGCCATGTTGGCGGAAACGTGATCCGATTGTTCTTTCTTGTTTGGAAAAAGTTAAGGACAGTGTTTTATTTTAAACGCGTGTGATGCCCTGTAGGACAAGTATTTCTTGGTTTCTTCACAAAGTGCCAGAAAGATGCCGCAGGACGAGTGGGGTATCAAAGCTCTCTATTAACCTGTCATCTTAGAGAGAACCATTGGCTATGGACCAATTAGCTTTTTTCTGATTTGATCAAAACTGAAAGATGATTTGATTTTAAAATGCAATGGTAGAACAAAAATAATCATCAATAGAATCTGTGTGGTTTTCTGTCATTTCAGAATACCTGCATTGTGAAGCTGAGGTTATGCATGTGAACAAAAATGTATTAAATTTATCCACTGAATATATGAGCTGTGCTGCCTGTTTTACATGTGTAATCCTCAAAATATTGCTCTGATTATTCAGGTACTGTACAACATGATCAGTTAATGCACTGGATATACTTAAAATGATTACAATGTGTAAAAAGAAATGTCAATATACTGTATATTGCTTACAGGCGGTATGTGCGAAAGGTGTACATTAATACTGACTACCAGTTTGTGAAAGTCTGCTTTACCTCAAACAAAAGCATATTTACAGAATACACATAATTCAAAATAGAAAAGCACCAACACTAATTTTATGGCAGACTTGTTTTTTTTTTGTAAGTGTGTGATTCTATCCAGCTGATAGAATCAGTTTTGAAGCATTTGAATTCAGAAGCCATCCATGTTTAATCAGTTTTATCAAATGTCAGGGTATTGTCATCCTTTATTACTTTGTATGAACTGAAGGTAAATGTGAGGGCACAAGAGCATGTTTTGTACAACCAATATGCACTTTTGATCATTAATTCAGAATAAACAATGTTGCTTCTAACGGGTTGTTTGTGATCTTCATTAGTCCTCATTCTTTCTCGTAACTCAACCCGTTCAGCCAGTTGGGAGCTTTGAGGATCAGAAGTCATATGAGTTATCATCCCGTGGCCTCTATTGTCAAACGTTTCTCTGATTGTACATACTGGTTAATTATGACTTGAAAATGTTTATTGAATTGCATGGTTATAACTTAAAAGTGCGTCCAGTTGTGGCCAAACGTTTTGAGACGGACAACTTATTTTTTGTTTTGTTTTTTTTCACAAATGTTATTGTGTCAGTCTTTATGGACAGCATTTTGGCTGCAGCTGTGATGTAAAGTAGGACAGTGATGAACAAGTTACATTCTGCAGGAAATGCGAGGATTAAGCTACAGAAGATTGGTGGTAAGGTTAACTTTGGCACACAAAGTCCTCCTACTTTTATCTCAGTGCTAATCTATTGGGGCTTTAAAAAACTTGATGGATCTCTATAAAAGACTTTAAAAGTTTCATATCAATATGTTAGAGATACAGTAGCAGACAAAAAAGATCTAGACAGCGACAAATCGGTATTGATTCACATTTCAGTCAGTCTCAAAACATTTCACCATATTTTTACAGTTTCTTAAAAAAGTCAAATTCGCTGGTGTCACATTTTAAAAGCATTGCTTTTATTTCACTGTACATCTTAATGCTGTTAAGGTACAAAAAAACCCAAAACCAATCATCATGACAGTGCAACTACAAAGCACCTCTGTAATAAACACATAGGTTCTGGTCCTGGTCGGATCAGGTTCATCCTATAGCACCGGGTTGTCTGTCAGCCGTGGGTTTGTCTTCTCCTTTGGCTCAGGACCATCTACCTCTGATTATAGATTCAGTGCATCATAAAGCTGTGGACTTCAATGTGGCCGGGTTTGTATGGTTCTTGTCATGCATTTATAGGCGTACAGCAGCAAGCAATGTCTTGAGTGGATTATTTAATAACAAAGTTGTTTTAATCGCCAGACGTAGGACAGTAAAGTACAGTAGTGGGGACGAGGAGCATCCTCAGTTCTTTTAGAGAGGAAATCTCATACTAAGCATTTGTGGCAGACGGGTGATGAGTTGGGCTTTTCTGGAGGCCAGTGCACCCTCACACTGAATTGGCCATGAATTCACAAATACATTGTAGCAATATAGAGTGAATTGTAAGATTAGATTAGAACAGATGAAGTTAGCCTCAAACTGAGTATTTTTCAGGACTATGCAGTAAATCTGCAACTGGATGGCTCGGAGAGAAAAAAAAAAACATCAAGATGTTTCAACAGCCTAGTCAAAGTCCAGACCCAACTAGACCAAACTGCTGTTGAGACTTGTAATCCTTCATGAAAAAAAAAAATGTAATTGTTATTGGTTCTGAATTTATTCAGGAAAGAAATGTGTGAAATTATTTCTGCACAATTTTCTTTTCCTCATAAATGCATAAACTATTAACCTTCATTACAGCGAGCCGATAACCTTTAATAAAAGTGTTTTGAGCATGTTTGGGGAAATCTTCATTTTGGGAAGTATCTGACCTTCACTGTCCTGTTCTCTTGAAATTATGGTGGAAATGTTGATGATAATTCTACCTGCTTGTGTCTTCACTTTGTGCTGATCTAAAACAACTTTTTATTACAAATCAAGGGTGGTAGGGGATTTTCTTTTCTTTTCTTTGAAGTCACTTTTCTCAACACGAATCAAGACATCAACACAAATCCCAAAAAGTGCTTATTCCAACAAAGTGATAGCGACATGATCGTCCTTTCCTTGCCACAGCATCTCCCCCTCAAAGTTCACCAGTCCCTGTTTTCTGGCCCGTAAAAGAATTCCCACCAGTGTATTGGAGATGGCCACGTAATGCTCAAAAAGCTTCCCGAATTCAACCGTGATCCCTTTCCCGCCGTGCTCCCCGATGTCCCTTATCACTTCGCACAGCTTCTGGACCTCCCTGCCGATGTGTGTGTGAGCCTCCTTCCCGCGTTTCTCAGTCAGGGACCCCTGCTGGGGTCTCCCGTAATCATCCTGTCCCCTCTGAAGGACCACCACAGTCTGCCTGGTGTCATGGCTGAAGGGGTTGAGCTTCTGGCTCTCCTGGTGCTCACTGGACCACTTCTGCCAGTTTTCCTTGAGGCCTTTGACGGAAACGCTGGACATGGCTCTGTCATCGTCACTCCGAGGGGGAGCGTTGCGGTTGAGGTCGACCTCGGGTTTAAAGTCGCTCCTCTGGCTGTTGGTCCCCATTATTCACTCCCTTCATTTCTGAATACAAGGAGAAAGAGACTTTGCAATTCCTAGCGATATATTGAGACTATTACAAAGTGGCTTAGAGGCAATATTATGGTGTTTCCATCGCAAAGCTCTGATCTCAAAGAAAATTTGTGGACAATGTTGACAATGTGTTTGTGTGTGTGCCCATAGTTGGTGTAACCTATGCTGTTGTGTCAAGATGAATGGGTCCTGAAAACTATTGTGAGAAGGTTGTGGAAGGATAAACATGGCATAAAGTCTACACAAATCAACCAAGTACTAAAAAATACATGTGTAATGCAAGTAAGTAGACATCTGAATTTGTGCGTGCATATTAAAATCGCGAGTACAAATCTGTCATTATCCTGCCATTTAACAAATAATAAAACGAGTCTTTTATTATCAATATTTTTAGCATCTTAATTTTAATGCAAATTACCACCGGAAGTCGCAATCTGTCCAGTTTCATGTGACATATTAATGCAATTTAATGCAAGATGTTCTAGTAGGGAAAAATAAAACTACAACTACAATCTATGGTTGATCGGACTTCCCTTTCTTTTCTAACCAATAATTGCTTCGTTAACCTTTCATAACATCAGAGAGTTGATTTTCCAACTCTCAGGTGACAGATTCGGATCTCACCTGGCCGGCAGAAACCTCTCGACACGCAGCCAGACTCCGGTACTGCCCGGTTCTCCACCCGACGTGCTTTATTGGGTTGCAGTTTTGCTGACAGCCGCAGCACAGCGGATCCATAGATCCACACGCAAAAGCCCATCTGATGGACGCCTGTCCCGGCCAGTGGGGACGAGGGCACTTCCGGGCAGCCAATCACAGACCGCCGTGAAAAAAAAGGCCTCGTACCTGTTGGTCATGAAATAACTTAAAGCTGATTAAAGTACTGTGGAGAGGAGGGAATCTTTCCTTTCCCGCCTCGTAAAGCAAGTAAAAAATTGCGTGCATTTGATTCATAAGGTTCTTATTTAAAGATAAATGATTTCATGCAGGTTAATAAATATTCCGAGTTAGGAACACGATTTATAATGGCACAAATGTTCATTAAAATGTAGAACCAAATCAGCAACCTCTACATATTAGAGAGTGTATCATCAGAAACCGAGCGTACATACCTCTGCCTTTTATGGTTACATTGTCACCTCCAAGCGGCACCTTTTGTGCACATTCCTGTTTCTGGCCGGACTTATTTTGAACCCGCACCAGCCATGGCCGCCTCCGGTAGCAAATCATGCCTCCAGTATCTCTTCCATCTGGCTCAAGACCATCTGGATTTTAGGTTACCGGTAACGATGAAACTATTTTCCTACTGTTTGTTGAGCTTCCGGTGATAAATTGTTTTTGCAGGTAGTTGCTAATTGACCCGCTCCTCTCTATTATGGTGTGGTATTATAATATAATAGCTTAATGCTAATGTGACAGGAATGTTAGTAAGTCTGAGTGAATCGATATACGCAGATTAAAGCTGCTGATTTAAGATGGAGTGGTTACAAAATAATAACACATTGAAATATTTCTCTTCTATATTTGTGGATAATCCACTAATGCTTGATCTTAAAGTTTATTTCCATTCATATGTCTATAGATGTCAGTGGGAGGTTAAATTTTCTTTTTTAAATAATATGGACTAGCTTTGTTTTAAGGTAATTAAATTTTTCATAAAACAGCCTCTAAAGCTGCTTTAAAGAACAATCCCTAAAGTTTTCCTGCTGTTCAGGGATCCTTCCTGAAGGCTTAAATGGTTCCAAAATGCGTAATTTCACCTTAGAGAACCTAAAAGTTGTCCTCGACGTTTAGGATGTAATCTTTAAAGAAACTCCAAGAAAGTTTACCACACCTTTCACTATTTCTCAAATACATGATGGATACAAATCATAGAATATTTACCCAGGGATAAAAGCTATTCAGAGTGGGCTTGGGAGCAGTTTAACTGAGCAATGTGGAAAATTTCCCTGAAAGTTTTCTTCAACTTGTTTGATTTAAACTTTATAGAACATTTTTTGATGGTTGAACTTAATTTTCATTTTGGAGCCTTTAGAGAAACATCCCTTAAGCATTTCTTGAAGGTTATGTGCAAATTTTTTCTGAAGTTTCAATTTGTTTTTATGTCAGAGTGGAAGAATCTGGCAGATTTTAAAAGGGGGAAGGTTGGTGGGTTGAAGACAGAGGGCAAGAAATTGATTTGGTGTCTTTTTCTATATTTTCCATGTCTATGTAGTTCTCTGTTTGCGTGTCATAATTTCTGTTAAATCAATAATGTCTTGACATATTCATCAGTTTTGCCCTGATTCTAATAGGAGATTAAGGCTCTCCTGGCTCTCAGACTGAAACCATTCCGTCCCTGTGGAGACTTCAAAGAGCAGGTCAGAGGTCACCGTGTGCTCTCTGATCTTTTTGTCTGACGTTTTGCAGGTCAACTGATGGTTGGGTGGGATTTAGATTAGAGCATCTTTGCATCGTCCTCACATTTGCCACGTTTCTTTTCTGCTGTTTTTAGTCTCCTTTCTGGTGCTTGGACTGCTTGTCAGAGGAAGATGTTCGCACCGTGATGGCCAGATCTGTTTGTGCAAAGTAAGTGTGTGTGTTCTGCTCGCAGAGATCTTTAGTGAGAAAAAAAAAAAAGTGACTCCCCCATCTTGTCTGCACAGGTCTGCTTTTGAGCTCTGGGGCCATGGAAGAACATACAGTGAACTCAGGACATCCCTGTTAAACTACCCACCAGAGAAAATGGTGAGTTAGCTTTGATATAAAGCACAGTTTACCCTTAGCAACTCTACTTCTGATCTCCTTTTATTCTCCTTGATTTCTTTCGCTGCAGAGTCCCTACATGCAGAAAGGCTCTTCGTACAGAATGAATGTCTACACTTTCAATAAAACATTGTTGTTTACGGACAGAATTAAAAAGATTGATGTGAGTATCAATGCCTTTTACCTTCACATTCAAAGGTTGTACATTGTATTAATTCCATGTTTATCCTGCTCTGTTCATTAGGCCATGGATTATCTTCCCTTTGAAGGCTCTGTGAGCCTGAAGAACCCTCAGCACATCTTCTGTTTGATGGAGGACTATGGCACCGACCCCAACAACATCCCTGAGCATCCAAACTACATCTACTTCGGCAGATGGGTGAGAAATAGAAACTTTGCAAAAATATTAGTCCTTCGACTGTTGTCTTCAATGAAGGATTGTTTAGTGCACAATTGTCAAACTCCAGTCCTCAAGGGCTGGCGTCCTGCAGTTTTTAGATGTGCCACAGGTAACAAACACTGGAATGAAATGGCTTAATTACCTCCTCCTTGTGTAGATAAGTTCTCCAGAGTCTTGCTATTATTCTGTTCAGGTGTGGTGCAGCAGAGGCACATCTAAACGTTGCAGGACACCGGCCCTTGAGGACTGGAGTTTGATACCCCTACTTTAGTGGGAGGGAAAGAGAAATAGGTTTTTCTCAATTTTACAGATGTAAAAGGTTCAACATACATTGGTGTTGAGCCAAGACGTTCCATCTTTCCCTGCAATTACTTTAAAATAATTAGACTTAGACTTAGAATCTCTAAGTCTAAGTCTAATTACTTTAAAATATATTTAAGCTTGTGGTTGCAAAACAATCAAGAGGAATGAATACTTTTGGAAGGTGCTGTAGATTAATCTACCCTTTTTTATTGTATTAAACTGATGTGATTTCATTTTTATACCTGCGCTTCAGATAGCAGACGGTCAGCGGGAACTGATTCGCTCCTACAGCGTGAAGAACAGACATTTCATCGGGAATACCAGCATGGACGCCGGCCTGTCGTTCATCATGGCCAACCACGCAATGGCCAAAGACAACGACCTTGTTTATGACCCATTCGTAGGCACAGGTAAGAGCTCTGAAGCATGCAGCTTTGGACAGACACTGCGTCAGAAATTGGTTTTCATCATCTCCCTCATTTGGTCGCAGGAAGCCTTTTGGTTGCGTGTTCTCATTTTGGAGCATACGTGTGTGGAACAGACATCGATTACAACACTATTCATGGAAAAGGTGCGGCTCTTCTCTCAGCGGCAGTTAGCGCATCATGTGTCTGATTTATTTTTTATACCTTTTACTGCTGTTGAAAATGTCCCGTTTGAAGCGTGTTGACTGCATCTTTTGTCTTGCACTCTAGGCCGGTCCAGTCGTAAAAACCAGAAATGGAGAGGACCCGATGAAAATATCCGAGCCAACCTCCGGCAGTACGGAAAAGAGGACATGTATGTGGACGTGATGGTGTCTGACGCGTCCAAGCCGGTGTGGAGGAACGCAGCTCTGTTTGACGCCATCATCACTGACCGTAGGTTCTCTGTTCATTCGTTCGAAGATTGCAGAATTTTAGAAGGCGCTTAGTCCAGTTCAGAAGGAATAAGTTTAAACACAGCAAGTAGGAGGAAAAGTTTTCTGAATCCTTCTAATATTACAAAATTAGAAGCAATAATATTATATTATATTATTAAAATATCATGCAGCTATTTAAACATCTTTGAAAGTTTTTTTTTAATTTGACGATGAACACTCAGAAAAAGGATTGAAATGGAAAATTTTTCACACTCACAGTTAAGCATGGCGGAGCATGTGTGATGCTGCGGGACTGATGTTTTTGCAGTGGTATGTTGAGCATTTCAATTAAAAATAAAAATCTTGTAGCTTCCTACCGGGATCTGCGAATGGGTCGTGTTTTTCTTTTCTAACAGAAAGTCATTGAGCTGTTTTAAATTTATAACATAAAATAGGTTTCACATGCTCTTTCTTGTGCTTCTAAAAAAATATTTTTATTAATTTATGTAACTTTTTGCTTTCTTGTTGCTTACTATGTTGCTTTTCATGTGTTTTTTTTTTCAGCTCCATATGGGATTAGAGAGTCAACCAGAAGAACTGGCTCCCATAAGGACACTGTGAAATCCCCTGATGGGCTGTAAGTTGCACTACAATGATTTTATACAACGAATAAACTGACTTTTACATATTAGTTTTATGTACAAATAAATGCATTTCTTTTTAAAGTTTTCTGCAGCAAGACTTAAACCCTCGTTCTTTCAAATCTCTTCCACAGATACGCAGAGTCCCACGTACCGGTCTCACAGGCGTACCACCTGAGTGACATCTTTACAGATCTGTTAAACTTCTCCGCCCACCATCTTGTCTTGGGTGGGAGGCTTGTCTATTGGCTGCCTGTGTACAGGCCAGAGTGAGTAACATACACCATCTCATCTACCAATAACAACACACACAGCCGGTTCAGGTCCCAGGACGTCCATAGCTCCAACTCTTTGGTCAAGAGAGCTTGTACTGCTTGTTATGTGAAAATCAGTGTTTCATAGATGGAAATAGAGCTTCCATGAAAATGGAACCTCGTATAAGCAAAATCAATTAAGCCGTCTTTATTCATTGTTTATACACAAGGAGGGCAACAGAAAGCTTTAAAAAAAAAAAAAAAAGCACAGCAGGCATTGATAAATTCAACAAATAGAAACCTTATGAGCTAATCCTGACCAGGGGGGAACGACTTACCAACTTGCTCAATTTGAGAATATGAAGGAAGTGTTAGTAGTTTATAACGTATATCATCATCCAAATGGTTTACAAAGAGAAACGAGTCACATTTAGTTTATTAGGTAAAAACCATGACAGATTTTTTTTAATGATCAAATCATTGAAACTATATTGAGTATTTCTTCCTTAAGCCAACTTGAATTAATATTTTACCTTTGCAAGCTCGTGAAAATGAAAACGTATCTTAAATGTTGTTTTGAAAAACAATAAAACCTGTTACCAGTAGGGGGCAGCCTCATACCATAAACGCGGACTGCTGGATTCTCGTTCGTTTTGTGCACAAAGTTTACATGAGCTCTTCACTTTACCCGTTATGATAAGGTAGATGTCACATTAACACTAAAAATAAAGCTCTGTATCACAAAGAACCTTCGTGATGCTTTCTCTCTAGTTTTCCCAGCATGCCCTTCTGTGGAGTCACAATCACTCTCCAGTCACACGTGTAAATAAATGACAGTGTTTGCGCAAAAATAATGTACAGGTGTGTCAAGGTGTTTCCAGCAATACAGCTGGGCCTCGGCAAACCACAACTGACACCACCGAGCTGCTTTATAGGTTGTCTGAGCAAGATGGCTCCTCTGAAACAAAGTCCATCATTGTTAGAAGCGCCATGCGACGCAGCAAAGGGAAGGAGTGCAGGTGTTCAGCTGTAAAGGTGCGAACCGCAACAGGCCTCAGCATCAACGGCCCTTCTGGGCAGGAAAAGCCCAAAGGGCCTGCAGTATTTTTTTATTTTTTTTTTTGAGCGCTGATTATAAGGTTTTGGAGGAGATGAGATAATCGCACGCCGTGTAGCTTTAGAAGAGGCAGGGAGCACATTCAGCGTAAAAGGTAACAGCAGTTTGCTTAACTGTATGGATCTTCATACATGCGTGAGCGTGTGTGGTCTTGCACTTGAGCTAATGTTTGTGCCATCATGTTCACACGTCATCCCATCAGTCCTCGGCAACCGGGCCTGTGCCAAAATAAACACGCGAGGCCGAGCAGGCAGGACAGATATATGAATTATCTGTCTCTACGGTCTGCAGGCTGACCTTTGTGTTTTGTGAATGTTTGTGTCTGCGTGTGTGTATGTGTGTAGGGCCAGACGTAGCCTGTCTCCTGGGCCCTATCTGGCGGTTCTAAGGGGCGATCAGGTTTCAATCGCCCCTTCCAACCAACATATGCAAGCATGAAATTGTGGCTGTGACAGAACCAGTGGGGACTCTGCACGTCTGGCCGCTTCATGACAATAAAGAGCTGTAAGTGTGTGTGTGTGTGTGTGTGTGTGATGACAGGTGACATGAAGTCCTTTCACCAAGACAGCATCTAGACTTTGTTGAACTGCTTAAACTTTCCTCCATTTTTGCCCCTGAAAAATAGTAAATGAAGTAGAGAAAAGGATAAAGATGGATGACGTTGCGTCCGTCATCTCTGCCATAAAGTTACCCAGCTGCAACATAAATACGCAAAGCTGAGATGTAAATGGTGCATTGTCAGGACAAAGGCAATACTTGTGTAAAGAATGATGTTTGAGGATTTTTCATTTTTTCTATTTTTGATTAACTGGTTCTTGGTCTTGGAAGTCATGCATAACAAATCCTTTAACAAACATTTAGTAAAATTGGGATATAGATCAAGGATTTAAGTTGCCTTCACACTGGATGGACTCCGCCATACAGTCTCCAGGACTTCAAAGTCTGTTCAAACATGGCTAGAAAACAACAAATCTGTAAAACCTAATTCCAGTTTAAAGGTAATGCTGCACTCTTAAGAAACTTTTCCTCCTGCTCCTACCAGCCATCCTGCTGTAACACAACTGAAACGGGCCTCATGTCTGCATCGAGTTGTTTCCTTATTCCGAAATTGCGGCAATCTCAAAAAGCGTTGATGGTTTCTGCGTCTTCATCAGCAGTTTCAACCTCGCTGTAGGGGAGGAAACGCCACCTGGACTTTAACAAGTTAATGAAAAGATGCAGGTGAAGGGGGTTTTCCAAACAGATTGCGTCAAGGATGCCCTCCTGAACAAAGATTCAAACATAGTGCAATGCTCTTGGTGCCTATAATTACAAATAAAGTCAGAAGGAATTGTGTATGAAACTAGTTTGTTTTGACACTGATCATACAAAGCTAATTAAATAGAGGATTTTAAGTTAAAACTGCCTTTTTTATGAGTTCAACTGAGACTAAATGATCGTTTTGTTAAATATTTTTCTTCTGCTGTCTCTGCATTGCTTAATATGATACATTATACCTGCAGCTTAAAAAAGCTGTCTCCAGTCAACCTGTGCATGTTCAATTTGGAGGCATGTGTTCCTATAAACAAATATAGATATATATATTTTTGTACATACAGAACCTCATGACGGCACAACATTTATTGGTTAGAGATCCTGAAATTTTCTCTATCAGTCAATTGTTGAGATCCAGTTGGTTGCAGATTGTGTGGTGCATAAAACCTGCTGTCTGTGGCCTGTTAGCTTAGCTGCAGGCTACCTGGTACATCATCCAGACTGCTGGATGATGTATAGATCCATCATAATATTGAACCACCAAGATCTCACCACAAAACTTTTGTTTGTGCTCAAAACTGTAAAAGAGAAAAAGATCGAGAAGGCCATCATTGTCCTGATGACTTGTAGAAACAAGTCAGACTCCTCTCTCTGCACTGACTCTTTCTGATAGGCAACGCAGAATTATCCTTTGGCTGCATCACCAGCCGTTCCCATAGCAACCAAACATCCCCACCAGTGGCGAGTCCCACATGCGGCCAAAGAAACGGGGCGAAACGATGATGTCGAAATCTGGCTACGACTTGTCGGGACTGTCGCTATGCCGGTGGCGGTGTGGAGAAAGTGCTACTGACACAAGCGCGCAAACGCATACATCATGCTCGGTTAATAGGCCTTAGCGTGGACTGGCCTGGTGATGATGGAGCGAGCAGTCAACCTGTCAGCTCAGATTCACATTTTCCACCTTCTTCTTCGCACCCAACAAAACCTTCATAGGCTTACAAGCTGTGATCTCACTGCACTGCTGGAGCAGATGGTGTTTATTAGAGAAAGAGAGCAGCACAGAGAAAATAAGACCTTGCTGTAAATCCTGGCTTAGTCCAACAACTCAAATGTTTCCAGTCATTCAGTTTTTCTTTTCATAACTTAAACTTGTGATGAATCAGTCCAGCTTTCTGTGGACAAGCACCTTTCCTGAATGTGTCCTGGTGTCTGTTTTCCAGGTACTGCGAGGAGATGGTTCCTCTTCATCCTTGCCTTCTTCTCATCAGTAACTGCGAGCAGACACTCTCCAGTCACACGTCACGGCGGCTAATCACCATGGAAAAAATTAAGGAGCCAGAGGTAAGTGCTGGCGGAAAAATGTCAGCCTGGAAGCTGGAAATCCAAAGTGTTTATGGGAATTAAAATTCAGATGTTTTTCTAGTTGGAATACGAGGAGTTACTGGTCCGATGCTTTTTGTAAATCTTGAATAAAACCCAGTGTGTTCCAGTGCAGTTAAGTCGGAGCGGGTCGATTTGCCCTGGCTCATGTTGCTAAATATTTTCATGGCTTCTGATCGTTTGCATACTTCTGAAATAATTATTTAGATCTCTATCCCTGGTTTGGGTCAGTTGACTCTCACAAAATGTGACAAACGATGAGTCCTATAATACTGAAATAACTCCAAATGACCTCCATCTGGTACACATCATTTACTGGAGTCATATCACTACATTACATTTTCATTCAACAAACTAGGTTCAGAATATAGAAAAGGATGTTAAATTGTTTGTGATCTCAAAACAACTTTTACTAGGTCCTCTCTGCAAAGATTAGGTGCTGTCACCACTTTTTCATTTCACAGTTGTCAAATGGAGAAAGGGTGATATGATGAGCCCCAGTCAAGTCAAATGATTCATTAATACAATAGAAATAATGGTAACACTTTATTTAACGGGGTGTGCATAAGACTGACATGGCCCTGTCATAAAGCTGACATAAAAATGAAGGAGTCTTTATAAATGTTTATGACTGTTGTCATGAAGTGTCATTTGGTAAATAATGACACTTTTAAGGCAAAGTTGCATTAAAAGTGCAACATGACACCTCATGACAACAGTCGTAAACATTCATAAAAACGTCCTCAGCTTCATGGCGGGTGTTATGTCATTTTTATAACAGTGAGTGTCAGATAAAGTGTTACCGGGATAATAAAGTAAATCCACTCCTTTGATGTACCTGCCAGGTTCTAACTCTTTTTCTGTTCTGGAAGTGCAGCCATATTATATCTATATCTATGTCTTTTTTTTTTTTTTTTCTTTTTTACAAATGATCCTATTGTTACTTATTAACATCTTGCGAGCAGCAGAAATGTTTGATGTTTTTGTGTGTGTGTGTGTGTGTGTGTATAGGTGTGTGTGCTCAAGCAGAAACATGCATATGAAGTGAAAACACGTGTGTGCCACCCCGTTCCTCAAGGCAGTCATTGTATTTTACAGAAGTGCTCCGTTTGTGTAACCATGTAAGCATGTTGTGAATGGGTATGTAGTATGTGTGTTTGTTTTCACATGACATCCCACTGGAAGTGATGGTGTCTGTATTTCTGTCTGCAGCAAATCCTCGCCATCTGGCTGTGATTGGCTCGTTTCTTTTATACTGGAACCCTAAATGGCTTAATCACACGTCGTATGGAAAACAATCCGTCTTTGGATCTGACATCCAGTCCACTTCAAAACCCACAAAATTGCTCCCATGAACGGCGCTATATAACGTGCGCACACAAACACAGAGTTGTGTGATGTTATCTGAGCGGTATCTGTCTCAGGTTGCATTTTTCTTTTCTTTCCAAATGGCTTTCAGAGTGCTCCTATCTGCACGCTTTAATCAGGCTTCACAGCCTGATGTTTCCCAAGCAAATGTTTGCTTCACTTTGACGTGTGTGTGTGTGTGTGTGTGTGTGTTCACGCTCTTTCTGTGTTTCAATGGTAAATGACATGGCCTTATTTCTTTTAACATTTGATATCTAATCAGAAAAAGATTTGTTTGATTTATAAATGTCAGTTTCCAGACCACTCTCTGCATGTGAATTTAAATATCCGTCAATACTGATATTTTCCATCCAGGAGTTGAAACAGGCTAATCTAAGCTTGTGGCTTTTCTAGTAGTAGCATATAGATTTAAAAAAAAGTCTGAATTAGCTTCATCCAGAGACAGAAACACTCAACTGTGATTTACAGTTTTAGCTGTCGCTTTTCTGTGAATTTAGAAATGAACTGTTACCCATTATTTCGGTTCAGTTTAGTAAAAAAAATACTAAATTTAAGAGCAGAAGTGACATCACGCTACTTGAGAGATTGAGAGAAGCAACACTGAAAAGCTCGGTAATAAAGGGGTTTATTCTTTGGAGAAATAAAGTAAAATATACCTTAGGCTAAAATTATTTTTTAAATTGACAGCCATGTCCAGGAGTGTATAATGTTTGAAAATCATGTGATGGTGTTATTTTTTGGTTTAAAATTACAGTGATGATATAAGTTTTGATAAAAAAAACACATTTTCCTTACTCCTCTCTTCCATCCTTCTGCATATTGTGCATCGTAATCGGTGTCTGCAGAAGTGAGACTCCACCCAAATGCTCGAATATGTTAATGGTTTGCAAAATGTAAACTCAAGCAATTATTCCTATTCAAACTGTTCTTGGTAATTTTATAAATGTGTGCCCTGTTTTTGAGATGGCAATGTTGCTCTTTCCCAGAAGACGAGATTGCGTCATCGTCACTTTCGCCATTGTTTGCATTGAATCCAAGCTTTTCTTCTGTGACTTGTCTAAATATACAGCAACTGTAGTTTCTATTTTCTTTCTTTAAAAAGAAAAACTACTGCTTTTTCTTTTGCAAGGGGTCTCATAGTTCCTGCTGATTTCTAGTTTTACTCACTGTGAAACAGGAAGCCGCTGCTTTGCACCACGTCATTTTATTTTACTGGCTTTACTTGATAATGCTGCCGTAGCCATAATATGGTGCTCTTACACACTGAGTGAAACTGCAGGATGCCGTGACTCACCAGAAATAGGAAACCACTGAATGAACTAAATTAATTTGGACTAACAATTACCATCTCTTCTTGCTCATGTCATTTCCTATCCAAACTACTTGACTCATCTTTAGCATTTCAGCTTTCTTTACAGTCAGGTCTGAGTCTGACTGAACGTAGGTATTGAGCACGGTGATATTATCGAGATTGTTAGGATGACACCTTTTCGAGATATTGTCCTTCCATTGTTGAGTCTGAATTTTATTGTTTGCATTGGGGAAAAAAATGCAAACAATAAAACAATAGTGAACATTAAGCACAACAAGGTTGTGACTGTGGTCTTTATCATAGTTTTTTTTTTTTTTTTACCATTTCAAATGTAGCGTTTGGGAAGTGAATTATGTTTTGTTATTTTTTTCTTTCCGCCCTTTAGGAACAAAAAGTGTTACTAATTGGTGAGAAGATGTGCAACAGCAAAACAGTTTTTTTGTTTTTCCCCCCCTAACATTAAAAGAGGTAAACTCTCTCTGTGGACTGCCAAAATAACAATGCACACTGTAAATTGAGCATAATATGGGCTCTTTAATTTGGGTTCATGGTGAGGTTGTTTCCTCTGAATGATCATGGAAAATGTTTCCAGGTTGCTTGGCAGCGTCTGCGAGCAAACGAGAGGTGGTACAAACATATTACAGCACTTCCAGCTCAACTCACCTCATTATTCCTCTTCCCAGCATCTCTCTTCCTCCCCCGATGCCTCTGCAGATCAGCAGCTACCTTCTAGCCAACACAAACGTCTTTATAAGGAGGAAACAGTTGATATAATTTAGTCATGCATTCAGAATGTAAACATGGCAAACTACACAATGTTTCTCTTTTTCTTTTATATTTTTTTTTCTTAAGAGAAAAACAAAATTACCACCTGTTATACTCCTCTTTGACCTTTTTTATACAGGTACGTGAAACAGTTGCTTGAACTTTGGCTCAACGTTTACATGGCAAGCACAATAACCCAGATATTGTTTTGTTTCTACAGGAACTGGACAGCCTGGCTCATCTTTCAGATCCCCGCTTCATCCCCTACCAGGGACACAACGCCTTCAGAGAGAAGTATTTCAGCGGAGTAAACAAAAGGTCTGGCAAGGACGACACGAAATCAGACGTCAGTGGAAAGTGAAGACACAAAGGCCTTATTAATAGCAAGGAATTTTTTTTTTTGAGGTTTTCCACAAAAAAAAAAGGCTTTTAAATTTTGGTTATATTTGATCTTAATAATGTTGCTACTGTTTGTACGACTTTTCTAATAAAATGACATAAAAAAAAAAGTGACAAAAAGTATACGTTTTTTCATACAATGACAAGCTTATAATTATAAAATCAAGATCTTAGAATTGAGTTCTAAGATCATGCAAATGATCTAACATTAATAAATATGTTAGATCATATTTATTTATGATCCAACATAAATCATATGTATGATTTATGTTGGATCAAAACAAATGATCTAAAACAAATCTCTTATCTGTTTAGAGATGTACAGAGAAAATGTACGTTCACTCGGTGACCAGCCAAGCAGAAACTCAGAAATGGGATCTTTTTTTCGATATGAGCACTAACCCTGTCGCGGTTCCCAGATTGTGATAAGAACAACTCTCTTCATTCTGGGTGCTGCTAGTTTGTTGATTAAGTAGTTGGAAGAAGTACTGAGATATAAGAAGCTAATCGAAAGGAAACAAATGTCATGCTGCTACAAGTCCGGTACACCCAGGCTGTGTGGAGAGAGCAGGACTTTAAACAAACAATAGGAAGCCTGAACTAAAAGTTATTGTTTCTCTGTCTTTTAGAGATTTCAACCTTTGCAAGTCATTAAGCAGGCTGGGTTTGGAAATGTTGGCAGCCTTTTGGAAATCTCAGTTAAGTCTCTGTGCTCTTTAGTTAGTTCAGCCAGGGATCGCTTTTTTTAAGCAAAGCAAGCCGCGCTAATGGTAAGCTATAAGTAAGAACTCCCAGTGAGCAGCTCTTGTTATTTTCCTGCCGCAGTTCATACGCCGCCCAACGCCCTTTTGCTCTCGGCACGGCGACTGGGCAGGCCTTCGACTCCATTATGCTGTCTGTCTGTTTATCGGGTGGGCCTCTGCGTTTCCGCTACTCTTCCTTCTTCTCCCGGCTTCATAGGGAGAGTTCAAAGCGCCATCACATGATACTCAGCTCCCCATCATTTGCGGTGAACACTACTTATAGTTCCCACAGCGCCCTTTTGTTGTCTGCCATCATCATCAACATGTAAAATCAAATGTTACATTAAAAAAAGCCTCCTTTGCCCTACTTAGCGGTCGTGTCATTGTAGATTTCATGTCGAAGAAAGTCGTCCTGTCACTGTGGTTGAGCGGCGCTGTGTTTGCGCTGCCGCCACTTTAGTGATAAAACGAGTCCTTGAGAGCGCTCAGTCTCCAATGATGCAGACGATAATTAGGGCGAGGGGATATGTGGGGGAGGCGGGGGCGAGGGGTCCTCTCCACACACCACGTAATGCTGTCCAGACGTTGAGGAAATTCTGTTTGTGAATGTGTTTATACTCGTGTTAGATCTGGTTTTGTTTTACACTGGACACTAGCTGCAGTAAAGCAGTTTCTTGATGTCTGTCAGTGATAATCCAGAAGCTTGAAGCCAAAATTGTTCATAATAGTCACCTTAACCATTTGTTTGGTTGATAAGTACTGATATATTCTTTGTCTATTTATATAGTGATCATAGTGGGCAAAATGTCTGTTGTAGAAGTGACGATAGGTGGGCATAAAGCTCATTAAATATGTTTTCAAATAAAATATGAACTTTCTAAGTTTACTTAAGTCTTGTTGGGTTTTTAGCCCAAAGGACCCTTAAGAAATCTTCGAAAAGTTCAACTTCGCTCCACAGTTTCTAACAGGAGTGGTCAAATATTCAGCCGTACTTCTGCTCGGACTTTGTTTATGGCCACAAAAATCCATCGGTTATTTAACACTTTTTTATTCACAGTCTTCATTAACAATTTGTCAAGACCAAAGTAGAAAGCAGTGAATTATTTGAAAGATATTTTATATTTACTTCCAAACTGATTTTAAGGGAAATCAACTGGCAGCGGCATTGTGTGCGCTGGACTCAGCTGCCTGCGTTTGCTTTGGACCGGGGAGGCGGCCATCGCTGCAACCACTGCTTATTAAGAACAATACTCACTGTCTTGAGTCTCCAACGTCTTTGGCGACAGAAAAAATGGCTAGTTTTTTTTTTTTTTTTTTTTCTTTTTAAACGTCCCCAGAAGAGTCTGAAAAGTCGCCCAGTTGGTGGTGTTACCTTCTTCGTCTCACTAGTAAGGCGCCAGCTTAGGCGTTTTGGGTTCGACACCACCTGCCTATGGCAAATCCAATGAGTGGTGGAAATGCTCTCCTGAATATGGCGGACCATAAACTAGCCGAACCTCACTGACCGTTCTGCTCAGTGGAATCGACGCTTCACGTTACCATAAGGTCCTTTTCAAAACCAATTTTGATGTGTTTGTGATTATTGTTTCAAACGTCTTTCCCAAACATGAGCGGAATCGGTACCAACCAAAAAAGAAGTCCTTTTTCTGAAATTGACACCTTCATGCATGGGTAGACTTATCTTCTGCAGAAATGCTTATATTACAGAATGATGGCACTGGTCCCCCACAGTGATGAGAGGAATGTTTCCATGACTTTAAGTGAGACTTTCAAAGCTTAGGATCAAAGTATGCTCTGGTAAACATGGTAATGGTAGCATAATGCTCTTTGCCTGTTTCTTGCCCATTTGTATTGTTCACAGCAGCAAGTGGTTTGAGTAAATAAGAGATAGACACCACCTTCAAATTCTTTATAACTTCACCTCAAATGAACAGCTAAACGGCTGAAACTTTGACACAGAAAGAAAAGTGATCCAAACAAATGTCAGGACTGGTTTGGAATGGATAAAATATTGAGGTCCTCAACCCTATGGATGATTTGTAGACTTCACTTAAAAGCCAGGAAACCACTAGTTTAACTTCGCTCCACAGTTTCTAACAGGAGTGGTCAAATATTCAGCCGTACTTCTGCTCGGACTTTGTTTATGGCCACAAAAATCCATCGGTTTCTGTGGAACCTTTTTTGGTGCTATTAGTCAGAGTCTATGTGTACCATCTACTTGAGCCTGTGTATATCATTTGGACCTTTTTGGATTAGAGAAAATACACAATAAATTCAAATATGTACACCCATTGGTTGTTTTTTTTTTTTTTTTAAATCAGTGAGGATGTTTGTCTTAGAACCATTCCGCCTTGTAAAATGAGTGGAATAAATCATAATGGTTTGGAGAATATCCAGAATAAATCCAAACTTAAGCGTTGTTCTTCAGTATCACCGGAGTTGTGTATGGTATCGCTTTTTAGAACAAAATGAAAATAAGAGTGGAGCCTCAAAAGCTTAAAATTAGCATTGATGTCAGTGATGAGAGTGTGTAAACATGCTACAGGAACTGTGTTCAGTTCTCGTTTTCTAAGCAGTCCTGCATTACTCTACACCGTCCCACCTCAAGGTTCCTCCTTCACCTCTGATCTTTCCTCCTTTTCTCAAAGGGGAGGAGATGGTCATTGTTATGGAACGATGATTTCTGATTAAACTCCCCTCGGTCTGACAGTCACCCTTAACGTGCTGAGTCGGCTGGTGCACCATAAAGTGAAATTGAGACCAAAATATATCCTTGAATGATTCTTGCCACCTTTAATATGACATAAAATTCTAAGTAAATTCTGTACTATTCAACTGAAAAATGAAATTACAAGACGGGAAAACGCCTGTCAGATTAAAGTTTGGACTTTGACTGGGCCGTTGTGACACATAAATATGTGCAAACCGTTTCTTCGCAGGTCTGGCTGTATGCTAAGTCTCATTGTCTCGCTGGAAGGTCAACCTCTGCTGTTGTTTCAAATCTTTCGCAGCTTCTTCATTGGAAATTTGGCAGAGTTTAGTTTATTTGTAAAGCACATTTCAGCAACAAGCCACTTCATAGTGCTTCAAATGATCAAAACAAGCAACAACCATTACATTTTATCATGGAAATTATCAAACAAAAACACATTGGATCTGTTGATTAATGTTCCACTCAGAGGCCACTCAAAACACAGCAGTGTATGTATCACAATGTTCTTATTAGACCTAATGGAGTCATGCTGAACACATCTGTTTGCTAGTGATCCACAGCGCTTGATGAGTCATCTCTTGACCAGTAACATTAGCCAAGGCTTTGCGCGTAATCTGACAGAAGTGTGTGCCGTGCCTGTTAGAAAGAGGAGCATTAATGTGCTTCAGGAGGCCGAGGTGATAAGTGTGTGATAGGCAGAAACTTCAGAGAGCACAGCTGGCAGTCAGAGCTCTCCGATCTTTGGAAATACGCAGGAACACATGTTACACAGGTGCCGTGCACCTGCCTGCAGCCAGGGGAGCTTGGACACCTGCTTATCCTCCACCCATTCACGCCTTGCCCCCTCCACCTTTAGGTCAACTCTGTGCCCCCATCGACACGGGCAAACCCCCGCTTAGCCTCTGCTGCCGATGATCAACGTAAGATGAGAGCTGTTATCTCATAGTCTGGGAGGAGAGGTGAGGAGGAGGAAGAGCCATTACAGCGCTACAAATCACCACAGGTCTCTTCGCATGCAGCTGTGTGAAACTCAAACCAGGAACAAAGACAACATGAGGAGCAGGCAGGGAATCTGCTGTTTAAATCTTTTTTTTTTTTTAGTTGTTTGCATCTGTCTGTCGAACCATTGCGTTTAAGGCCACTAGATGACACCCTGGCGCAAAGAAAGCAATTAAGCAACAGCTCAGTGCGCACGCTGAGCGCCATTCCGGCGAACAAATGGTTTTGCCGTACAATCAGTGCTGCGCGGCCCATAAATAAACAGTTCAGTGGCTAAGCTTTTGAAGTGATATAGCTGTGGTTGAGAAAGTGCAGAGCAGTTTGGAACACACAACATCCTCTTTAGGATGCTCGCCTGGAAGTGGTGAGGGTTTGTTGGCACAGGAAGTAAAGGGGGTGACTGAACGCCTTGTCACCCAACTTCCCCATCTTTCCGACACCTATCCGCAACCCGCGCTCTGCGACCACATTTGGTCTTTTAATCACCGTTGCCCATGCCTCACGGCGTCTACAATGCAACTGCGCTCGCTTTGCTTTAAATAAACCGAGAGAAGAAATCCACTTTTGTGGTTCGCACATCTCGTTGCTTGCTCTAGCGTGTGACCCTAAGGCGT